GAGGCCAGGATGGCCAAACTTCGTCTCTCATACTTTGGACATATTGTCAGGAGGGACCAGTTGCTGGAGAAGGATATCATGTTTGGTAAGGTGGAGGGTAAGAGAAAGAGAGGAAGACCCCAAGCGAGATGGATTGGTAAAGTGGCAGCATCAATGGGCTCAAGCATGGCAACAATAGTGAGGGTGGTCCAGGATCGGGCAGTGTTTCGTTCTTCTGTGCATAAGGACACTGTGAGTCAGTACTGACTCATTGGCACCTAACAACAACAACAACAATCTTGATCTTTCTACTGGTCACACAATATTTCTGCCTGCTTTACGGCCATGGAATGTTGTGAAATTTCCTTTCTTACATCCAGCCAATACTGCTCAATCATCCCAAATCCCTATCTTCTACCACCTTATACACACATACACACACAGCATAAAAAGCTACCAGCCCTCTAATCTTCATTTCCTTTTTCTCCTACAATGTTTTCTTCCTTCTAGTAGCAAGTTTTACTTTGTTAGGATGCCTATATGCAGCTCCAGAATTCTTAAGAAATTCTTGTAACAAAACAGGGAAATGCATACTTATTTTTTGTAGCTTTGATAACAAAGGGAACCTAATGACACAATTTATTTCTTTGCAATATTATGTCCTCAGTCAGTGTCTTGATTATCTAGTGCTGTGATAACAAAAGTACCACAAGTGGGTATTGCTTTAACAGACAGAAATTTATTCTCTCACACTTTAGGAGGCTAGATGTCCAAATTCAGAGTGCTAGCTCTAGGGAAAGGCTTCCTCTTGCTTTCAACTCTAGAGGAAGGTCTTTTGTCTCCTCAGCTTCTGCTTCCTGGTTCTTTAGAGATCTCCAGGTGTCTGGCATATTTTACCCCATCTCTCCTCGACTTGCTTGTTTGTTTAATCCCTGGAGTCCTGGCGTGATGCTGCAGGATAAGCACTGGACTACTAACCGCAAGGGTTGACAGCTCAAACCCACCAGTCAGTCCTCAGAAACCATATAGAGGGTCACTATGAGTTGGAACCAGGCACTTAACAACAACATACCTCAAAAGAGACTGAACTCAAGACACACCCTACATTAATCCTGTTTCATTAATACAACAAAGATACTCCATTCCCAAATGGGATTTTAACCACAGGCACAAGGGCTAGGATTTAGAATATATACTTCGGGGGTCACAATTCAATCCATAGCACTGAGTACAGTGCTGTATCACTCTGCTCAACGATCATTTTTATTGAAAGAAAAAAGGCCCAAGTGTAAAAATATCATTGCCATGAAACCTCTGAATGCATACTCTTGCAACACTTATGCTCATATTCCTGAAGTGGAACCCTCAAGAAGGCATTATTCCCGGTGAAGAAATTATAATAAATGATTTCAACCCCTTGGGGCTTTCCTCCCAAGAGGATGGTTTTACCTGGTACTTTGGGAGCTGCTCCTTAGCATGCTGTAAAGATCCCCCAGAAGAGCTATGAGAAGAGAAGCTGTTGCTACTGCTCCTGCCACTGCTGCTCACACTGCTGCTTTCTTGACAGCACTTGGCTGACATTTGAATAGAGACATTCTCCGTGTTCTGGGGAAAGAGAGACAGGCGTGCTAAGTATATCAGCTTCATCAACACGGTCTTCATTAGCCATTTCTCTTCTAAAACAATTGTGTCCAAATGGATCAAAAAATCAGAAGTTCTTGTTCCCTTCCTTTGTAATGATAGTAAAAATGAGGTTATTGAGAGTATTAGGGTAGGGGGAGTGATGCTGAAGAAAAGCACTAGATGAAAGTGTTAGTTGAATCGGTTCCGACTCATAGCAACCCTGTATAAGGTATATGAGAAGCAGCTGCTGGCTTTGAATCACTGATTTTGCAGTTAGCAGTCGAGTGCTTATCCAGTGCTAAACCAGGAGTACAGGCAAAAGTCATGGTTATGAATTAAGAAATTAACTAACACACACACACACTCAACTCACTGCCACAGTCAATTCTGACTATAAATCTTTACAGGAGCACCTAGCCTCATCTTTTTCTCACAGAGTGTCTCGTGGGTATGAACTGCTTAACAGCAGCCCATCACCTAACCCACAGTGCTATAACGCAACTATTACTTACATTTCAATTCCATTTAAGAGCACCTACAAGATCTAATTTCTATTTAGGTTATTAAAAAACTTTTTGGGTCATAATCTGTGAAACTGAAGAAAGAAAGAGAGTCATCATTTCACATTTAAATTTTTAACAAGCAAACTGAACTAAGAAAACAAAGCTACTAATTTGGAAAAGTTGGGCTGTGGGTTTCATGACACAACTCCTTTGGTACTCCTTTAGAGGTAGGCAACAGGAAGGACAGTCATGTGGTTGAGCTTGTGAAGAATGAAATGGGAACCACCATGAATCATACAGCATGTGACTGAAATATGTCCTCGAAAGACCAGATTACCTACTGCATAGTTCCTGAATAGAGTTCATTGTTAATTTTTATGCCCATCACATAAAGGCATAGAAATGTAACTATAGTAATTTCTACCTTCTCCCTCACAGAAGCACCCTACGTTCTTCCCTGTTAAGTTGTTTTCTGCTGAGTCTTACTTGTTTTGCTTTTGTGCAGCTTTTGCTGGGAGAAACATGAATGCAACTGCAGTTTATCTAATCTCCAGTGTGACAGTCACACTGGTGGTCTAATGCAAATGCCTGCAGTCATGTGCTCGATACAAACTCATGACGTGTTATGTTTGTCAAAGGGAGGAGGGTGAGAATGGGAAAAAAATATAAGGAAAACTCAAAATAGATGTGCTGGTTCACAACAGTCACTAGCACAGAAGGCATTCAGAGTCATGCTTGGTTATTCCTAAGTACCCAGCACTCACCTGAGCACCCTCTTCAGATTTAGCCTTACTAGAGTAGTGGTTAAGAGTGGGGATGCTAACCTCAAGGTCAGCAGTTTGAAACTACCAGCCACTCTGTGGGAGAAAGATGAGGCTTTCTGCTCCCATAAAGGTTTACAGCCCCGGAAACCCTATGCAGGATTGCTATGAGTTGGAACCCACTCCACAGCACACCATCACCACTACCACCACCAATAGTTCTGATGTGGCACTGAAGGATAAGCACTAGGCCACAAGTTCATTTTGACTCCCAATGTTAGTGGTTCAAACTCACCATCCGCTCTTTGGAAACCCTCAACAGGGTCGCTATAAGTCGGAATTGACTCGACAGCACTAACCACAAGCAGTCATAAGCACAGCCTCTTAGAGGCCCAAAGAGACACAAAGTCTACCCTGCCTTACATACTGCTAGACCTTTTGGGCTGGAGTACAACCTACTGAGAAGTCTACAGTTGTAGACAGGGTCTGACACAGTGACTAGAGACTGCCTGGACAGTTTTTGTAGCCTTGGGCAATTGACACCTTCCTTGCATAAAAGTTCCTTTTCTGACTAAATGAGACACTTGGAAACAAACGTATGTTCCAGACTCCCTGTGTCTGAAGATCATATATCTTTGAAAACCACTTAGAATTTCCATTCCCCCTCTTCACCTGGTACCACATCATTAGGAGCCACTTATGGGTGTACAATTAAACCATCTGTTAGAAACTTTCAGAAATGGAGACGATGTGGGAAATCAAGGGGAAAATATCTCCTATCCACCAAACAAAGGGTAATGTCTGATTACTAATCTACCATTAAAGCTTGCTGTGAATCACCTGAGGGATTCTATCCCCATCCCCCCTCTTACCTAACAAGCCCAACAACTACAGTAATGATTAGCTACCTGGCAGAATTCCACCTTAAAGCACTGTGGAATCCACCCTGCAAAACTGCTTTAAACCAAACACTTCCTTCCTGCAAAAACGATCCTTATCAGAAGCAGGAAAACAGCCCTATGGCCCTGATGAGACAAAGACTGTGATACAAACATTTCATTAACTTAGCTATACAGTTCTACAAACTGCTATAAATTGGTCAGTATAAGAGAAACAAACAAAAACAAATCTGCTGCTGTAAACTTCGGTTACAGAGAAGAACTGCTTCAGCTTCCAGGGTTTTCTTGGCTGTAGTCTTTATGGAAACAAATCACCAGGCCTTTCTTCCGAGGTGCCATTGGATGAGTTAGAACTGCAAACCTTTAGGTGAGCAACAGATTTCAAACTACTTTTGCCACCTACACAGACCTTGGTCAGTGTAGGTGACAAGTAATTAAACATGAAAAGAAATGAGTAAATAAAAAGAATCAGTACAGATTCATTTATTCACTCAAGCTGTAGACATCTGAATAAGAGTTAAAAGTAGTATGAAATTTACGGCAATTTACAATTACTGTGGATTGGTGCTGGAGTCTCTGTGTGGTACAAACAATTAATGTATACAGTGGCTAAACAAAAGGCTATATGTTCGAGTCCACCAGAGGAAAAGCCTGATAATCACTTCAGAAAACTAAGCCACTGAAGACTCTATGGAGCATAGTTCTACTCTGACACACATGGGGGCACCATGAGTCAGGAATGATTTGACAGCAACTGCTTCAATGAATGGACTGGTGTCCAAAAGACTCAGGTAGACCACCTTGGACAAGTTACTTACCTTTCCTACTCTGGCTTCACAGGATTACGAGCTGATCTGTCCTTACTCTATCTGCCCCCAGCCCCCAACCCCAGACCCACCTCCCCTCTAGCTACCACAAAGAAAAATGAATAAAAACTTTGTTAACCAGATAGGTTGGAGAAGCACTCCCTTTTGGAGCTGACAATGCATTTTACCATATTAGAGCCCTATAGTGAAGAAAGGTGTTCAATGTTGTTTAAACAAGTGTGGCACAGTGGGTTAAGCACTGAGCTGCTAATGACGAGGTCCAGAGTTTGAACCCAGCAGAATCTCTGTGGAAGAAAGATGAGGCAGTCTGGTTTAGTAAAGATTTACAGTCTTGAAAATCCTACGAAGCAATTTTACTCTATAACCATACAAAGGGTGACTATGGGTTGGGATCAACTCGACGGCACTTATCAACAACAACATCAGGTCACTATGAGTGGGCATTGACTCAGTGACAGTGGGTGTGATTTGATGTATGTCTGTTGTTGTTAAGTGCCATTGAGTCGGTTCCCACTCATAGTGACCCTGTATAGGGTTTCCAAGGAGTGGCTGGTGAGTTTGAACCACCGATCTTGCAGTTCAAACTGACCTTCTGGTGGAGTGCTTATCCTACAGCGCCACACCAGGCCTCCTTGGGTATGTAATACCTATTTTTAAAAATCTATGAAAAACACTGGACAGAATCATAGACAAGAGGGCTTCAAAAAGCTCATGGAAAAATTCAATTTTATCTTTTAATTCCATTTTCCATGAACTTTTTGAAGCTCCCTCACATTGTCTTTACTTCAGGCTAACACTTTAATGAAGTTTAGAGTTCTCAGTTTTCCCATACATGTCATACACTTGGCATCAAAATTCTACAAGAGTCCAACTCACCAGCAAATGCAGCTCGTGCATAGAGTATATTACCTAGTTCCTGTCATGATTACTACGTGCTACCTGGTTTACCAAGGAGCTCTGGGAGCACAGTGGTTACGAGTCAGGCTGCTAACCTTATGGTCAGCAGTTCCCTGAGACAAAGATGAGGCTTTCTGCTCCTGTAAAGATTTACAGCCTCGAAAACCCTATGCAGGGTTGCTATGAGTTGGAACAGACTCCACAACACACCACTACCTGGTTTACCTATTTATCAATGAGAATACAAAAATGGTGGCATGGGGAGTGGGGTGGCAAATAAGGGAATAGGAGGCTTTGCTTACGTTTCTTCTGAACCATTAAAAGCTCCATCCAGATATCTCATGGAGAAGATCGTTAATTAATAAACGACTGAGGCAAGATGTAGTTAAAAGCATACACAAAAGTAAGGAAAGCAAATCAGCATTTCATACCTGAGGTGCCACCTCCTCAAGCCGGTGAACAGCTTTAGAATCAAACAAGACTTGTCTGCCTCTCCTTTCACAGTCTTGGTAAACGATCAGGCGAATCTCCTTCAGGTCAAATTCCGAACACGACCAACTATGGATTAAAAAGGAGAGAGAAGTGATATTATTACTTGCAGCATTTGGGATGATCTTGAATGGATAAGCTGCCCAACCAATAGACCTGTGTGAATGTCAAAAGGTCACAACTGTGCAGAGACAGTGATCCCCCTCAGGCCTGGGGCAGTTAGTGGGGCTGCAGGGACATGAAGCCTTTGTCCCTGGACTCTCAAGGGCTGTAATAATATAGTCCCTTTCTATGACAAAGGTTTGAGAAGCCTGTTTTAAACAGATCTTTGGAAAGAAAGCTCTTCCTTTCAAAGCTAGCTTGGGCACAGAAGGCAGCCAGAAATTGCAAAAATGTGCAAAGGAAGAACCTGGATGTTTGAGCTTGTGGCGGGGGCTAACATCTGAGCTACAGGAGTATTCAAGCTACTATGTCACTGGCAGGGAGCCTCTTGGAGAAAATCAATAGATTCTCTCCTGTCTCCCTCTCCCATCCACTCACTCATGCTCAGGTCAAAAAGAGATGAAATATATGCCATAAAATGTATTTCTTTTCTTCTATTCTGACTGCCTCTGATACTGAAGGTTTAAAATCCAAATACGGTATAATTGTACAGCATCTTAATTGCTCCCAATAACCACCATGTTTGTTCCTGAGCAAAACAAAAGCTATTGGGCTAAAGTTCCGCTGATGAAGAGAGATTAATTCATAAGTAATAAATGACACGAGGTACTAGGTGTGGTGCTGTAAGATAAGCACTAGTTTTCTAACAGCAACGTTGGCAGTTCAAATCCACCAGCTGCTCCTCAAAAACGCTATACAGGGTCACTATAAGTTGGAACCACTCAATAACACTTAACAATAACAATAAATGACAAGATAGTGAGAAAACTGAGGAAAGGGCAAACTCATTGAAAATAGATTGCTTTGGGAATATTCACTGACTCATCCATTCATTCATTCAGCACTTAATTAGCTCTGGTAGCGTAGTGGTTACAAATCAGGTTGCGAACCGCAAGGTCAGCCGTTCGAAACTACCAGCTGTTCCAGGGGAGAAAGATGAGGCTTTCTGCTCCTGTAAAGATTTACAACCCCAACCCTGTACAGGGTCGCTATGAGTCTTGAACCAACTCCATGGCACATAACCACCACCACCGTATTCCAGGCAATGTGGGCACATGCTAGACATTCAGGGACTTGGTCCCTGCTTGCATGAAATCCATGGTCTAGTAAAGATAGTTGTTGCTGTTGTTGTTAAATGCAATCGTCGATTGTGACACACAGCAATCCTGTATAGGGTTTCCAAGGAGCAGCTTGTGGGTTTGAACGCAGACCTTGTGGTCAGCAGTCAAGTGCTGATCCTACAGCGCCACAACATTGTTACTATTGTTCAGTGCTGTTAAATTGGTTCCGATTCATAGAGACCCCGTTCCGAGGAACGGCTGGTGAGTTTGAACCACCAATCATACACCACATATATTCTGTTCATATTCATGTTCTCTTCCACTTCCGACCAAGTGATTGTGGAACTTCTAAGAGCACTTTGCTGAGGGCAACTCTGTACGAGTCACCTATAAAACAAGCCTTGGGCTTCTGCCTTAAAATATCAGACTATTTCAAAAAAATATATATATATATCAGACTATTTCAGAGAAATTGATTTTAATAGATTACCTCTTTGATTTTGTTGAAAGCAAGGAAAGAACAGTGCCCTTGGCATCTGGGGATAGGGTATTATTGATTTGCTTTGAGGTTAAATCTATGTGACCAAGAAAGTAAAATGCTTTGGCTACGTTTTTGTAAAATTTAAACAAAATCCTTTTATAGTAGACAGGTTCAGTTTTAAAATTCCATGATGCTAAGATTTGCCTGGATTAGAACTAAATCTAGGTATGGCACTATAGGATAAACACTAGACTGCTAACCGCATAGTCGGCAGTTCAAATCTGCCAGCAACTCCTCTGGAACCCTATAGGGTCGCTATGAGTTGGAATCAACTTGAAGGCACTTAATAACAATAACTCATTAAAAGTGGAAAGGAAGTAACCAAAGTCTGAATTATTTCCCTCAAATGCAACAAGCAACACTTCAAATTATTTTAAGTGCAGAAAGTAGCATTCTCATTGAAAACAGCACAACCTTGAATTCAAAGGCTTATTAAATGCCCAATAATAATAATAATATATATTAACTAAAAATCAGGCGTTTAATAAACCTTTGAATATACATGCAAATAAATATAAATACATGTAAAAAACCAAGGAGGATTCTACAATTAAGCATGAACTATTAACAACAATTACCTCTAAAGAGCTGGAACAGGCGATTGCATAATAGGATGTTATTTGTTGTTGTTAAGTGCCATCGAGTCGGTTTCAATTCATAGTGAACCTGTATAGGGTTTCCAAGGAGCAGCTGGTAAGCTTGAACCCCCAAAGTTGCAGTCCAGTACATTAGCTCTCATTGCCACAACAGGACTCCAATGGGGATATGTCAGGGAAATTTGCTTCCTCTTTCATACCTGAATGTCTTATGAGGAGCATGTAAATTTCTTCTAAGTAGAGTAAATAGATCTAAGTATGACAAATTCGTTTTACACAATATTTCTTGTACCCCATCATTTCACAATTTTAAATTTAATATGATTCATAATTTATGAACAAGCTGAAAAACTAAGCCTCTTGTTTGATCTATTCATTTGATGTTTATTGAAAACCTACTGTGAATTAGACACTCAGGAGGATACAATGAAATGAATAAGAAATATAGTCCCTGTTCTCAAGGAACTCAAAATCTAGAGAAGGAGAAAATCACGTAGGTCTTGAAAACAAGATGACAAGGCAGACAGAGGTAGCAAGAAAGGACACACGCAAAAATTCTAGAAGCAGCAATATTTGAATTAATAAAGCCATGAAGGGTGACAATGATTTGACATAGGATGCACAAGGGAGTAAGTCATTCCGGGCTGAGGGCACTTCACGAACCAAAACAGACAAATGGTACGTCTTGAGTGGTTGGAATACGTGCACTAGATAAAAACTACATAGAAATGAGGCTGGAAAGGTAACTTGGGGGCATTTGTGGGACCTCGAATGTTGTGCCAAGGAACATACACTGTGTTCTACAAGCAGTAATGCACCATTTTAAGCTCTTGAGAAAGAAAAAGGCATGGTTGGACCTGTTTTAGGAATAGAACTCAAGTGGGTGGAGATCTTTTTCAGGTCAAATGCATAGGTGGGATGACTTGCATCCCCAGGTTAATAGGAGAGAGAACAATAGGTGTATCATTTGTTGCAGGAGGATGTGATATGTCCTCCAAGACCAGGTCTAGTGTTGGCATTTGAGTCTTTCCTTGAGCTTTTATGCTGTTGTCGTTAAGTGTTGAGTCTGTTTCGACTCATAGCGACCCTGTATAGGGTTTCCGAGGAGCAGCTGGTGAGTTTGAATGGTCAGCTTTGCAGTTCAAAATGACTTTGCAGTCCAGTGCTTTAACCCACAGCACCATACCGGGCTCCTTGAGTTTTTATGAGAAACAGGTTAGAAGTAGGCACAAGTATGCCCAGGTGGAAGAATGATGTATGTATAAAAGAAGAATATTTGGGAAATGTCCTTCCTTCTTGCTTTCACACAAGGAAGTCACCGTACATAGTCAAATATAAGTTGACATGAAAAATTTAAAGAGCAGTCTTGTGATCCAAGAATGTGAACGTATGACAGTGAACTTTAAATAGCCCAAGAAAAGAAAAACTGCAAACAAAATAAAAACATAGAAAGCCAACAAATAATGATCAAAACAAAAACTGGTAAATACTATCTACTGAACAAATTCTTACTGCATGCCTACTGTGAACCAAGCACTCTCCCAGGCACTGGGATCACACAGTGGAGAAATCTTAGCCCCTGCTCCTATGATTATACTTTACCAATTGTACACCTTTCTTTCTTTCCACCAGCCCCAAGACTCCCCTCCATCCTAGCACAAAAAGTTTCTAAATACAAACAAAAACCTCCCAAAAGATTTATGTAAGGAGGCCCAAATGATTAGTACTTCAAAATAAAGAAGACTGGGGGTGGAGGAAAGAGGGAAATTATGCTTAAGATGGTAATCAAAGTGCTAACCCTGTAAGCATATAATGTACATAATTTCCCACCCAGTAACATGCTATTTATTTCAAGAAAGGAAAATTATGTAAATAGATGGCAGTAATGGATTTGAAATTCTTTTTTTTTTTTTTTTTGCTAGGTTAGTCATTTCAGGAAGGTGGCTAACGGGAAAAGGACTTTACAGATTAGTTGACTTTTCTTTCTTCTCTTATTTTGTATAATGCTAGATGAATTTCCTGATATAATTTCAGAAGACTGGCAGAAAAATTCATCACCGAATTGGCGTCCTATGTCAAAAATAGTAAAAAGTGCTTTGAAATTCCTATTCCCATCAGAAGCTTTGATACATAATGCTAGCGATATATTAAAAACAAAAACCAATTCTAATTAGAAGTTATTGCTATCTTACCAAAAAAAAGATTTCTATTGGATGTTGGTGTGGACTGTATGAAATGGAAGGATAAAATCCCTTGAATCAGCAATGTGACAAATGGAAAGAACACTGTCTCATGAGTTCAAAGGCACACTCCTACATCATTCCTTCCACACACACTGGAACACCTGGCATGACCGAGGCACCATGAAAGATGCCAGGAAAAGGAACACTCTAAGTCTAGACCCTGTCTCAAGGACCCCTAGTAGTACTGTATGATATGCACTGGTTTGTTAACCGCAAGGTCGGCAATTCAAGTCCACTAGTTGCTCCACAGAAGATAAGGTTGTCTGCTCCTATAAAGATTTATAGCCTCAGAAACCATATACAGGGTTGCTGTTAAGTTGGAATTGACTGGATGGCAGTAGGTGAGTAGATCCTATCTCAAAATGCTTACAACCTGATATTGGAAGACCAATAGAGAAACAAACCAGTAAGCTATGCTGTTACAGATACTGAGATAAATAAATGTCTTGTTGTTGTTGCTCAAAGC